TCCATGGTGAGCGTCGGGTCCAAATATATGCCCAGGCTGCAAACTCCACTCTTCGCGGCCAAGGTGGTCCCCCCAAACGTGAGAGAGTCACCCAAGCCACCTACCACGGGGGCCCCCACCCTCAGAACTTCTGTCTTGTCCGGGTTCAGCCTCAGCCCATTCTCCTGCATCCATTGCAGTACGGCCCCCAGGCAGCGCTGAAGGGAAAGGACAGCATCACCTGCAGCTGGTGAAAAGGAGATGCAGAGCTGGGTGTCATCGGCATATTGATGACATGAAGCCCCACATCTCCTAATGACCACGCCTAGCGGCCTCATATAGATGTTAAACAGCACTGGGGAGATAATCGACCCCTGTGGAACCCCACAGTTGAGACTCCACGGGGCCGAGATGCGCTCCCCAAGCTGTACTCTCTGCGGACGGTCCCCCAAGTAGGAACGGAGCCAGGCCAGTGCTGAGCCACCAATTCCCAACTCGGAGAGCCTCCCCAGGAGGATACCGTGGTCGACGGTATCGAAGGCCGCTGAGATGTCGAGGAGGACCAGCAGAGAGATTTTGCCCCTGTTGGCCTCCCTCAACAGGTCATCATACAGGGCGACCAATGCCGTCTCAGTACCGTGGCGCGGCCTGAAGCCCGACTGAAATGGATCCAGGGCATCTGTTTCATCCAGGTGAGCCTGGAGATGCACTTGTTTATATTGCACCTATAGGTGGAGGAACACAGGGAGCATTGGGATCTGCATTTGTGCAAGGAAAGACAAAAGTTACAAAATTCTGCATCAGACCTATCCAGATTTTAGAGAGATACAACTTTTCTCCAGTCCTGAAGAGAGTTTGATGGTTCTGCTGACAGGTTCCATGTGTTCTAGTAGGCCATTTTTGGGCCCTTTCCAGAGCACCTCAAATGCATTCCTTATGAAAAAGGGTTTTGGGGAAGAAATATTGAGAATGGTCCCTGCAAGGAGGAATTGTTCTCCTATAATGTATCTACAAATACCCCAGAGCAAGGTGCACACCCCCATCACCATATTCTCTCTCTCTGAATCTCTCTCTCACACACCATTTTCTGAAAGCTGGTAATGCCCTTGCGGTTATTTCTAGTCTTGTCAGAAGGAAATGGTTCAGGCTAGGGGCAGATGGTTACATATATGCGATAAATGGCCCTCAGACGTTCCACAGTGGTCAAGCTTGATTTAGAGGTTAGGGTTACTAGTATGTGTAGTAATGCACTAGTGGTAACAATGTTAGATGCAATGTGTTTCTTTGTGACACAGGTCATTTTTCCATTCTTAAAATAAAAAAAGAATCTAAAATAATATATTATTAGTGTTTAAGCTTCCAAATTTTTTACTTAACATTTTTAACATTTGTAAAGTAGTAAGAAACAGTAATACACTAGCCATTTTCATTAATGTTTCATGTTCTGAACTGAAATGCAAATGCATTCTTAGGCCACAAAATCCCATATATTATTCAGAAAATACTGACTGTGACTCTTTGGAACAAACTTATTTTGACTCATCACAGGTTTTTTGGAGCAAAGTCAAAGTTGGCATCTGGTCAAAAAGTTCCAGGCCACTAAGCTTGTTACAAGGCATACAGTGCCTATAAGCGTCACTTATAAAAACTGCAGCTGCACAGATTTCTCTCTCTAGAGTGGAAAAGAACCTTCATTAGAGCAATGTAAGGAATTTGGTAAAGATACTTCAGAAGGATGACATGGCAGATAACTTAAACAGTGTATTTAGTGAGAAGAGATACATTGAGAGTTGCGATAAGGTTCAAAGAACCTGCTGAGAATACTTCCTGTTGACAGTTTCATTTAGCAAAATAATCCTCTAGTAAGAACGCTATAGTGGAAAGTGACTGGTCTATCATCTTTTCTACACAGTGTGACTCTTCTGGGCCATTAAACAAAACAATTGTTATTTTGAGCAATGTTTTAAAGTCCATAGAGATAACCTTACATGTCCAACTACATTAGAAAACTGAGACGCTCCTACTTCAGTAAAAACCTCTAAAATTTAATATCACTGGTGTGCACAGTGCCTATGGAAATTAAGGTAGAAATATTAATATTTTTATATAAGGTACCCTGTAACTGTTATTGCAATCTGAATGCTGTTTTCAAAGAATTTCTCCATGATAGCAAGTATTTGATCATTTTATCAGGTTTGAATAAATTATATGGAAAGTGTAACAGTGGAAGAAAGCAGAAATAATTAGTTTATTAACAATCACAGGCACAGGCTTAATAATCATAAAACAGTAGTGAATACTTTTACAGTTCCCCAGATTATATTTCTGAATTATCTTGAATTGAAACTGACCTCTGTCTGATTGGGACTTGAATTTGGAACTCTTGGAGCATGATGGCTAAGAGCAGATAGGCAGGCAAGGATAAGATGTATTGCCCCAATTTCCAGCGCCATTCGCCTAAGAAGTACTCCATCATCAGTAGTCAAAGGTGTAGTGCTGAACAAGGTACGCAGCACATGAAATGGAAGGGTTGGAAGCACATTGGCTGAAGGAGACTGCAGAATATGACCTTGATGGAGAGAAAATAGATGTTAACACATTTGTCTCACAGTTTTGCATACTGCATAAATCTTCAAAGATAGGCTGGGTATTTTACTATGAATTACTTCTGTCTATTAGAAATTTTGAAGAAATTAGGAATGTCCACAGAGATTGGGGAAGAGGCAGAAAAAAAAGATCTGATCATGCTTCTATTATTAACTGTATCTAGAACACAATCTTAATCTTCTTAAAAGTTGTACAATAAGGAAGGAAGGTTTATTCATTAGTCATAATAAATCAAGCTCATTTTTGCTAACATTCTGGATTTAGTAAACTTACTTCTTGTCCTTCAAGCATCACAGTCTTAGTAGGGATAAACAACTAGTTAATAGCTAGAAACTTCATGGTTTACATTCACAAATGCAACTCCTCCAGTGTAAATCTCAGTGGCAAGTTGCTATGAATTAAAATATAGATGTGGGCATTTGCTGACCTGCATCAGTTACATGAATTGGTGTGCAACAGTAAATGTCTATACTCTTCATAACCTGCGGCAATTTGGCACTGAAATTTATGCTGAGGGATTTTGGCCAATATAAATATACAATAAAACTCCAAGCAATGTGCCCTAAATTATTATGGATGCTTTTCATAGAATTAGGCTAAGAAAGTACTGCATAAATGATTCTAGATTCTATCACTAGGTATGATTTTTTTGATCACAACTGGACAATCACATCTCAGCTTCAAGCACCAACACACATCTGCTTTGCTCATTCCTTTACATGAGTTAGAAAGCAAAAGAGAAAGACAAGTTTGTTGTGAGTTTCTGTTACACACAAAATCAGGAATTATGGTTAATGGCTTCTAAACAAAATAAGATTTGGAGGACAGCTATAAAGAATGACTTCATATACTGGTTTGTTTTAGAGCCCTTAGACATAGCTACCATGGATGTAGTTACATACGTAAAAGGAGGCTTTTGTTAATGGCTTTCTGGCATATTTATTCAGTCATGCTGAGAAAAGCATAGTGCATAAATTCATAAAGTTCTTGCTTATCTCAGTTTATCAAGCAGAGATCTGACTGTCATAGTAATGTCTAAATACAACATGTTAAGTGTAAAAGTGATGATATATACATGAGTTTAAATTGAATAAAGCTGGCACAGGTTTTCACCACCAGGTAAATAGCTTCCTTTTTCTATGAAAGCCTTTTTTCAGAGGCTCCTTTTAAACTGTTAATTTTAATCTCCCTGGATTATTAGTTGATGCATTTTAACGAGCAGTAATCTTTCACCAGGAACTGTGAGGATGAGAAAATACTTCTGATTCTCTGGCATACTTTAGATAAAATATTTATTTGAAAAACTTGGCAATTTCTGCTTTATATTAGTCTAAGCAAAACCTTCATATCTCACAATAAACTTTATTAGCTCACAGAAATACACAATGTTGCCATATGCAGGAAACCATGGAATGAACCATTGTCCACAAGAGAATCACATTCATACACTCTATTTACTGAATGTGAAAACTGAAGTATTCAGAGACTATTTGGAATTATATTGAGCACCAGCACCGGATAAATTTAGCAATAAGCAGAATGACAGTGGTCAAGAAGTGGGAAATACTTTGATCATAAGCATGTCTTTTACACACCAATTGGAGGGAATATCCACACAGAAACTTTCTGGTAACCCTGGCTCACACTGTCTCCCACCCTGTGCATAACATAAGAAAAGCTGCAACACAAACCTAGGGAGAGGGTAGCAAAAGCAAAAGATCAAGGTGCCAGTTAAGATTATTTTGCCCTTTTTGTATTAGTTATTATTATCTGTCTAAACCTGGATGGATCCAGATGACAGCAGAAATAACTTGCTGATGAAGGACTAGGCCAAAGTGCAGAAAATTAATATTTGCAAGGCCTCAAGATCAGCTGTATTTAATATGAGAGGACAATTCTTTCCTAAAAAAACAGTGAATCTGAGTTGTTGTTCTTAATCAAGGTGCTGCTGGAACCCCTGGAGAAAATCAGTAGCCTTAAAAAAAAATTCTATGAGTTCTGACTTTTTGATCTTATATAATGAAGGAAGAATCAGAAGATCTTTCCTGAAGGACCTGTTTTTTTCACTCATTCATTCTTGATTATATGTTCACAGACCCGAGTTGAAGGACCTGTATACTTTCATATACTTTCATTCCAAAGCCAGAAGAGGTTCAGAATGCTCAAAAAGCCAGTTTTATGTCTTTTCAGGTACTTGTATACTTATACAGTCAAGAGATATGTTTAGCAGTAGTCCCCAAATATACTTAATAGTTACAGTACATACTTCCTTCACCATCATCTGTAACTCCCAGCACCAATCTAAGCAGACACTGGGCATGTTTCCTCTCTTTAAGTAGCACCTCAGCATAGCCTGGGAGGCGAAGAAATAATCCAAAAGCAGCCAAAGAATGAGCAGGTATGGGAGACATAGTTTGAACTGTTGATTTGATTGGTGGTGGTTCTGCAGCAATTGTTTCTGGGGCTTCATAAACCAGTTCTCCTGATTGTTCAATGGTAACCCATTCAAACTGATCACTGTCCTTCTGCTTCTCTTGGGTGGTGGATGTAACCACTGGAGCACTCACCTTCAGAAAAGAAAAAAGATTCTTAATACTCTCCTCCAAGGTACAGTAACTAGTTAGTATTTAGCAAATACTATCACTAAATACTTCCCAGACTAATTCATTTATAAAGCTATTAAGAAACCACAAATGTACAAATGCCAACAGAAATTTCCCAAATCATATTCCAGATTAACATTTTCAATACTGTGAAGACTGATAATAACAGATACTCACAAACAGATAGAAGTAAGAAATGTTGTATTGCTTATCATAATGAAAGAAATGTATAAGTAATAAGGATTTTCCAACAATTATCTCATGATGGAGTTATAAGACAATTCACCATGGTACTCTTCAACTTTTCTTTCATGTTCTATACTGTCAATATACCTTGTACACCATTACAATCTTCAAAGAAAAATAAAGTCTATACCACCCTTCTATTTCTATAGAAAATAACTGCTGCACTTAAGGCATCTGTATAGAAGTACTAAAAAGTAATATTTTAGCAATGATATTCCTAGGTTCCTTTAAAAAAAGATATTTCCTTAGGATAGAATGAGCAAACACAGGAGCCCAGTTATTACTGGTTTTGCTGGCTGAAGCCACAGATGGTAAAGGCAAAAACATCTGGAGGAATAAAGTTGTTCAGCCCAGTCTTGGATCTGGAGCTCATGTATCATTCAGTAGACTTGTATCTATCACTTTCCTTCCCGTTTCCTATATTCTGCCATTAGAATACAGGGATCTCACATGAGAAGGAGGGAACCACAGTTCACTGATAGTATGTGCTAATCAAGTACACAGTGGTCAAAATCCTGTTGCTTAGCATAATAAATCACACTAGAGTAGACACATTGAATCAATGGAGATTTTATGAGTCAACTTCTGAAAAAGTTCCACTAATTCAAATGGCCTCCTCTAACTGTGACTTATTATGCTAAAGTCAGTCAGTTAGATTAGGCTTCTCTGAATGAATGGAGCTTATGTAGGAAATAACTAAACAAATTCCCATTGATTCAGTTGGCTTACTCTTACTATACTAAACAACAGGATTTTAGCTGGTATGTCCAAGAGACACTTTTCACTGGGTAAAGTTTTCAGCCCCTTCTTTCAACTTCTCCCCTTCTTGTCAAATTATTGCAGAAGAAAGATCCCACTTCATGTTGCTTTCTTGCTATGTATTCTTACCTGCTGTGTTAATGGGAATCCTACTAACTCCTAAAAGTGCCTGTGCTTCCCTGCTAAATAAAGATTGATAGGAAACATATTGATTTTGTAAAATTCCTATTACTTACAATGAGTATTTTTCTGGTCCTTCTGGGCATCTTCTTACCAAGGACCAAAGCAGCAATTATTTTAGGGTTTCTATACATGCAGTGCTACTGAAATTTGACATCTTAATATGTGATTTTGCTGCACAATCAAATCTACACGTAGGATGGCATCTTAATGGGTGCATTGTGAAGTGTTGCAGATAGCTTTTTCAACATATTGCAATTCTGTACTTCAGAATTCTCATTTCACAGAATTACGGACACAAACTATGGCTGATATCCAGTAATAAGTCATAACTAGCATAGGTCGACTAAATTAGTGGAACTTATATAAGTGATAGCTCATCAGACCCCTGTTAATTCAATGAGCCTACTCTAGTTGTGACATACTATTGGATTTCAGCCAGCATTGCAATTTTAGCTCTGTGTTGGTTATACTGTGAAAAGTGTCTGGGAAATAACTATGTTTATTTGTATGAGAACAGAAAATTCATGTAGACAAATATATTAAAAAATGTAACCTATAATCAAGTCAACTCTATGTACAACTTTTGACTTACTTGTTGAATTACATCAGGGTAAAGCATAGGAAGTCTTTCTGCGATGAGAGCCAAGCCACCCATTCCAGCAAAAACTTGCAACGGAGACTGAATGGGGCATACTTCAAGAAAGGATTCATCCAGCACCGTATCCATGCACTCCTCACCTGGTGTAACTGCTTCATCTTCAGTGCAAGGGCCCAATAAATCTGAATGTTCTGCATGCATACCCAACAAAACATGAAAGTCAAACATTTCAGAGAAATTATATTACTCAATTTTCCCCCCTAAAATTGGTCAAATAGTTCCCTAACCTATAATAACGAGCTCACTGTAAACACAGTCTGCACTGACTTGAAACAAAGGCTCAAGCCTTAAAAAAACAAACAAGGGAGTATATGTCTCAGTTTTTCCAGACAAATAATATATTTATCTATCTCTACAAATACATACTGTACTTTATCTATAAAAAAGGCTGTGAGCAAAGGATGTGAGTGACTGGAGTTGTATGCCCATGTAAATCATCTCTTGATTCAGGCCAAGGACACTGAAATAAACTTAAAATGTTCTGTCCCTTTCTGAACAAGGGAAGGGAAACAATAAGAACATTTGCAATTAAGAGTTTCTTCTTAGACATCAACCTGTCCCCTGAGGTAAAGCAGGCCAGGAAGCATTTTTTTTTTAAAAATTACATACCAGAGCAGTAAACACACTGAAATTGAACTAAACAAAAACATTGCTTCACACTGCAACTCTACAATTCCTCACGACACATTCCTTTCCTTCTTTCTTCCTTTTTTTAAAAAGATTACATGGCTGTCAATAAATGTCTCCAACATTAATAAATTGCAGACAAGAGTACGTCTGTTCTGGTATTATTGCATCTGATGAAGTGCACTTCATCAGAAGCATATTCTGTAACAAATTTGTTAAGTCTGCAAAGTATCAAGGGACCCTTTGCTGTTTTTGTTGGACAGATTAACAAGCCTACCCTTCTAATAAATATATCTCAACGTCTATCTATAATCTACTCATACAAAAAGTCCCAGTCCTTGCCCACTGGGTGGCCCACTTGGGTTTGTTCTTTTAATACTATCATTGCCATTTGCCTATTATGCTTCAAAAATGACGCTGTTACAGTTTCTTTTCCTCCAACCCAAACCCAGCCCAAAGTATACCTTTTTCAGTATGGAGCCGCTTAAATGAGTCTGTTTTTGAAAGACTAGGATCTGAGATCACTTTGGAGCCAAGCTTGACAGCCAAATCTATTGATCGATATCCTTGTGGAAGTTTGCGGTCATACAGCAGAGTCAGAAGCTGGGCAAGTGTCATCTCAGGTGGTAGTGGCTGACCTAAAAACATTAACTAGGTTACAAGCAACTCCAAACCATCTACAGATATGGAAATGCAAATAAGGGCTTGGATGCTTAACTGGGATTAATGCAACCTTGATCTGAAAGTTTTCACATTTTGCAGCTTGCTTAGTTCATGCTTCATCACCTATGCAATCCTAAAATTTTTCACTGATATTGAGAAACATCTGTGATAAAAGAATCTGACTTGTTGTTTTAGTCTGGATATGTATCTAATAGCTGTAACATCACCTGCTTGCATTTGCGCTGTAAAAGTCAACATAGTGGGCCTCAATGAGTTCATCTATGGCGGTAAGGCATTAATACTACTGTTCTACAGGGGGATTAGTCCTTAAAAATGTACACTGAGATATATTATGATTATTTCAAGTAGAATGAAAGCAGAAGCTGGGGGAATTGATAAATGCAACGAATCCTCCGGCGTGTCATGTGCTTCAGGATACCCGATAAATCCGCTTTATCAGAAACATGGAATATTACCTGTCAGCAATTTATGGTACAGATGAAAAACAGGAACACTGATGGTTTTGCTGGATGTGTCACCACTTGTGGAGGAGCTTCCTACTTTATCTGCCATCACTCTTCCTCGTCTTGAGGGTGGGCGAGGAGGTGTAGATGATACAGCTCTTTTTGACTGAGACTTCAAACCTAACAAAAATAAGTAGTACAATAAAGGCATGCAAAATAAAAAAAGGCTGCTCTAGTAAGCAGATACACATAATTTTTTACAAATGGAACATGTTTGAAGTACTTTTAACACAATGAACAGCTCTTTTAATACATGGTTTGTATGTCAGAGTAATTCTACCAGGTTCAAATACAACCGATGTGTGATACATTAATTTATAAACCTTCAAAATGTTTTATAACATATGGAACCTGATATGGCCACAGCCTCTAAATAAGCCACAAGCACACAACATTTTTTTTATCTTAATTATAGTGAATTTCTACATACATTTATAATCCACCAGGACTGCCAATAGACCCAAAGGCACTGGGGTGAATAGGCAGGATTCAGCAGTGGAATACTACTGACTGAATCACTGCAGCTTCCATCCACCATCAAAAATTATTCTGGAGAGCCAAGAAAACGTCTAAAGTTGGGTTTTGGGTGCAAAGGAGGGTAACATGATGAAGTGAAAAAGAAGACACTTTTGTAGCAATTTCCAGTGCGCAGTAACACTACATTCTAAAAACAATGCTAAATGTATTTACCCTGTTTAGCTTTTCAGCATTTGAAATGGGAGGTATGATTGTTACATCCTGATTTGCCTTTCTCCTCAACATTTGGTGACAACTTAACACCAAAGATAAAGTAAGTACTTGATAAAGTAAGTACGTACGTACCAGAGGCAACAACAACACTATAATTGTCCTGAAACCCATTTTCTGCTTTAACTTTTTCTTTTTCTTCGTAGTTCTTTTTTTCCTTGTCTTCTTTTTGTTCACTAATTAATTTAGCAGTTATACTTGGTGTATCTGAAAAATAAAATATTTCATATAAATGAAACAATCTGTTGTATTCTTCCCCCTACCATGGACACACTGAAGTCCAAGACATCTATACTCATTGAACAAGGCATAGTTCACTCAGGTGTCTTGCACAGGGCCATTTATTAAATTATAGAACAGTCCTGTTTTTGAAAGATATTTCCTCTTCATCACAACAACAGAATATTGAACTAGAAATATGCATTAATGAAATGATATATCTAATACACATGATTCATTAAGATTTTGAGGTATAAAAATATAAACTCAATATTTCAGGTCTACATATTGCCATTCACCATTCAGTATATAGTGACCACTTTTCCTTGCTGCTTCAATTTATATCACATTTCACTAAAAAGTTCTTCTGGGCTACCCTGCATTTTCTACACTTTCAACACCCAACCTCTTGGAGGCGCCTGCCGTTTAGATTCTCTAATGGCCTAAAGGAGCCATAATACTGTATGGCACACCAAGATTAAACTGAAAGTCATGCTTGGTGCTAGCAGTTAAAAAACAAACAACAATAACATTTAGGATTACTATAGGAGATGTGTTTGTTATTCTGGAAGTATGCTAAAATTGTTTTAAAGCTTGGCTTTCACAGTGTAACTGTACACATAATGCAAACCATAGTCTGTAAACCTGGTTCAACTCATAGTTTCATATCCTGGCTTGCAGTGATGTCTTTAACATGTAAATGTAATGTTTAATTAAAGTGGAGAAAAAACCCAAATACACATATTTAAGTTGTTTTGCTATCAGATCCAGATGAACCATACTACAAGCAACATTGGTGGCATGGAAATACATCTTGGAGAACGCTGTCTCAAGTCAGGCTGACCATATATATAACATATGAACTGGTGCTCAAAATTCCACTGCATAAATGTAACAGATATGTGGAGAAATGCAGAAATGTTATTTTAAAAAATCCAGTAAGCTCCTTAAAAAAGAATTTTATTTTAAAATTCCAGATTTTATTTTAAAATTCAAGTAATAGTATCAGAAGACACGATTAGATATTTTGAACCTGAATATGAGCCTTCATTTTAAAACATCATTTTGTATTTTAAAAAATATTCAAGGATGCGATAATTGTTAGGTGTATATAAAACTGCTATTTATTGAAGACAGTATAATCTATATCTAAAATTCCACATACAATAACTAATAGCCGCTTCATTTTAAGGGTGGAGGGAGAATATGGAACTTGCCTGACACACGATCAAGAACTTCTGCCAATGTTGTTGACACTGGTAAAAGAAGGGTACGGAACTTGTGTCCTGCGCCATACATTGGATGTTGAATTACATGACTGGTAGCATTAATTCTACCTTTGTATAACTAGAAGACAGAAAACAAGCCTTTAGAAGCAAAGTATTATAGAAATGCTAAAACACTACAGAGCTGAATAACAACTGGTTAGGATAATAGGATATACCCCAAACACAATTTTTCATTGTTAGTGGCCAGAATATTATTGATACTTGTGTAGGTTCTGTGGGAAACATGCTGTGGCTAATTGTGACCAAGTGATGAGGTACAGAAGAGCATATCAATTGTACAGTCTGCCATGTGAACAGGCAAACAATCAAAACACAGCCCAGCACACTGTCAATTAGCTGCAATTAGCCATAGCAAGTTAAGCAAACCTTCTGCAGACAGCAATAGGATTCTTGCCAAAGAAAAATTTTTTACTGCAACATTATAGGGAAAATTGACGATCAGTTCAGAACATTAATTTCATTTCTTCACACTGAAGAAAGAATACAGTGACGAACTACAGCTGAAAGCTTGTTTGTTGCCTTTAGCAGCTGCTCTGGAATTATTATTAAGGGACGTGGTGGTGCTGCGGGCTAAACCGCAGAAGCCTGTGCTGCAGGGTCAGAAGACTAGCAGTCGTAAGATCGAATCCACGCAATGGAGTGAGCGCCCGTCGCTTGTCCCAGCTCCCGCCAACATAGCGGTTCAAAAGCATACAAATGCAAGTAGATAAATAGGGACCACTTTGGTGGGAAGGTAACTGCTTTCCATGTCTAAGTCGCACTGGCCATGTGACCACGGAAGACTGTCTTTGGACAAATGCTGGCTCTCTGGCTTGGAAACGGGGATGAGCACCGCCCCCTAGAGTCGAACACGACTGGACAAAAATTGTCAAGGAGAACCTTTACCTTTACCTGAAATTATTCAATTACCATTTGAGGCAAATAGGTTTAATTAAAATGGCTATTAAGTAACTGTGGAACAGCTTAATATAAAGATTCACTGGGCGGAACCCTACTGGCATTTGTTGTACATATCAGTGAAACTGAAAAAGCTGCAGAGACAAACTGCCATTAATGACTGAGAGGCAGGTCAATTTTCTGGTTGTGCATCCATAGGGCGACTAGGTCCATCACTAGGAATGCAACCAGACCTTGTTAGTTAGTAGGGATTTTCTGGCACATTCCATACCACTTAACTTATGCATATGTATATCATGAATAAGAATCTTGCCTATGGAATGCAAGATTCAATGAGCAACTAAGAAACCAAGACTCTTCCTCTCTACTACCTTGAGGCACCTCTTTTTTAAAAACACTTGCAACTGTTCAGAGAACTCTATAGGTTCAGTTTCAAGGCTACCACTTGGCTACATGCCTGAGGAAAACTACAGAAGAATAATTTATGAAAACACAATATGTAAAGACCAAGACATTACTGTGTGTTGCAATAGGTTAATAAATGGAAAATTATATATCATCTACTAGCAGACGCAGGGTAGAAATATGTTAAAATAAAAAAAATTAATTGAATTTAACAGGAAATAAACCATGACATCCAATCACCTTCTAATCTTGATTGCTAAACCGTTTTTATACATGTTGGGATATGCACACAACTGACAACCTTTCAAACCACTTCCTGCTAGTTTTTGCAAAACTAAGGCTTCTACTAAAATTATACTGTGGCATTTTAGATTAAACAAAATGACACAAGCACAATTTGACATAATAAAAATGGCCTGTGGGAACTAAGTGGTCCACTACAGTCCCCTGTGAGCCCCCCCCAACACCTTTGTGTTGGCTCTAAATAACAACCATGGCCCCTGAGGCCTGCAAACATCCTTCATGAGATTGTTATAGCAAAGAAAATCTCTCTCTCTCAGAAACTGGAATCTCTGATTTCTGAGAAAGACATTATCCAGCCTAAAATATCTGTGTGATTTTACAAAATGGAAAATTACATCCATAGATCTCTGATGGCATTATTTACTATATTACGGCTCAATTTTAAAAAGGTGTTGGAAGTAAAGTCTTCCCAAGGTCTGGAAGAGAGCAAAAATGCCCCTGGAACAATATACATTTCTCCCTTCTGCAGTTAGAGGAAGGGAAAAAACCCAGTCCTCAGGCTTATATTTCACTTATCAGAGTCAATATTAACCTATTATTCTAAAGTTGCCATTTCCAGATGGTATACAACTGTGTCATTAGGGGTTAGGAAAAAAAACTGCATAAAATAAGGTTATAGCTGCTATTACAGTGGAAATAGAGTCAAATTATGGGCTAGTATCAGTATCTCGTTACACAGATTTCTTCCATCTTAGGGTGCAAAGCAGTTAGAAGAAAAGTTGCTTACTGGACAAGGTGACTGAAGGAACATTGTCACTTTTTCATCTTCTAGCATCAGCTGCAAAAAAAGCCTTCTAATAAATCCAGAAATATTTCCAGATGTTGGAAGATTGCTTCTTTGAGGAGATGAATGGAACAGTTCACAGAGAACCTACAAAAATAGACACCACCTCAGATACTTTTACATGAAAACAACACTTCTGCACATTTATTGACTTGCATCCAACTGTGCCACTGCACCAGTTACCAGTGGAATAGAAAGTTTTAATAAAATAGATCCGTATCTTCCTGTAGCCCTCCCCACTGCCCCCAAGATCTGCTGGACTGATCAATGCTCTGGTGAATTACAGGAGTGGGGAATGGGGACTCCACTTCTGCAAACCTGGATGCAATACATTAGCTATGAGTTAGGCTAATATTTGTCTTAAAACTCACAGGGCTTAAATAGCGGCAATCTATGGTGTGAAATAACGCTAGGACCACCAACATGATTTAGTTAAAGAAACCAAGTAACTATTTATCTCTTTCCACAGTTACTGTGCAATCAAGATTTAGCAGTCAGTGGCCAAAGGTGGGTGGGTACATTTGTTCTTATCAATTCCCAACACAATTTATAACTTGATTCTTCAAGGTGTATGGAAGGGGAAAAGGAGAATGCATCAAGCCAGAGTGTACCATATGCAATATGTGAATTGCCCCATTTTGCATGGGAAGCCAGCCAATTAGGTTTCATGGTGTGTGAAATTTAGAGTGCTTCGTGTCTGGCTGATTCACTGCAAGACTACCGTATTTTTTGCTCCATAAGATGCACCTCTCCATAAGATGCACCAAATTTTTAGGAAAACAGGAAAATAAAAATCTGTTTTCTTCTCCTAAAAATTTGGTGAGCCTTATGGAGAGGTCCGTCTTATGGAACACACCCTAGGACCCTTTGGAGGCTCACCCTGCCCCCTCGGGGGCCAGAGGGGGCGAAATCGCCACCTTCAGGGACTCTTCTGAAGCTTCCCAAGTCTCAAAAGAGTCCCAGAAGGTGGTGATTTCACCCCCTATGGCCCGAGAGGGGGGGCAGGGTGAGCCTTGCAAGGGTCCTGGAAGGCTCCCTCGGACCCTTGCGAGGCTCCCCCCATAGGGCCAATGGGAGCGAAATCGCCAGCTTCTCTCCATAAGACGCACAGACTCCCCCCCACTTTTTTGGGGGGGGAAGTGCGTCTTATGGAGCAAAAAATACGGTACATTCCGAGTTTTGCCCAAGACAGTATTGCCGAGCAGCTGAAAGGCACAGCATGAATTACATCACATTTCCAACCAAGCTGGCTACCTTGCAGCAAGTAAAATTAGAAGGGTAATAGTGGTGCATGTTTTCATCTTCATACACTTCCCCTTCCACCCGCTTCTCCCATTATTCTCTAGCATGAACTGGGAATCTGTTGATGGACACAGTTATGAGGAAAAGGAATCCTCTTCCACTATCTTTTACCAAGCAAAAACAGTGACTAATAGGTAATATTGTCACCTAGACAGAGCGTAAAACCTACTGGAAAACAGAAAATACTTCCTGTTTATGTTTTGAGCAACTTACGAAACACAAGATATCAAATAAAATATTGTAAAAGACACAACATTGGAATAAAGTTTAAACATTCACATTTCTTCCAGTACCTCCTCAATCAGGAATCATTTACATTTTCTGAAACATGCCAGCAGGTGGAAGTAAATTTCTGATAAAATTTCAGACAGTAGCATCAACTACAAAGCAGACACAGAGATCAAACCTTTTATCTTCTGTCAAAGCAAAAAAGAGATATCTCCCCCTAATTTTAAGCAGATAGGCATATGAAGAATTTCCTCTACAACAGCAGTAGCCATATGCAGAGTCTGTATTGTGAATGACTTTCATCTTCCTTGACATGATGGGCATAATGTTTGTATTGACCCTCACAAGCTCTAGATGCTTCAATGTCTCTGGGAGTATGACCTAGAATTGCAGAACATTATAACTTCATTTTTGGGCGCTGCCTCACAAAATCTCCAGAATATCAAGATCTTTACTCTGTAAGATTACTATTTATTTCTGCTATCATCAAAGGTAACAGAAAAGATCTAAGTGCCTCAAGAAAGATACTAGTCTTAGCCAGTTCTTTAAAACTAGGAAATGTCACATTTTAATTAATGTCAACTGCTATATTACCTGAGCCATCAATCTCTGGTTATTAGGATGACAAGAGATGCACTGCAAGAAGAATGCAACAGTGGCATTTTCAATTGCGGTCCTCTGCTGAGTGGTCAGTCCTGTTCCTGAAGTCGAAGAAAGTACATTAGGCCGAACACTATTCTGCTGTGTTGCTCCACCATGTCCTCCAGATGCAGCACCAGAATGACACAGGAGAAATAAAAGTGCTGTCCACAGTGGATTGACTTCAGAGCCACCCAACCAGTCCTTCATGATGTTGCTGTTCCCAACATCCGTCAAAAACCTGAGAACAGGAGCAACTAAGTCTGCTGTGATGGGCATTTTATTAAAGTGCTGTGGAATATGATGTCTTCTCAGCCTGTCTTGAGAGTTGTCTGTTGATTGTGTACTGATATCATAGGCAGAAGTATGGTTAAAGCAAAAACTTGCAAGGCTTCTTACAAGAAGAGAGGGCAAACCTGAGTCCAACAGCTGTTTAATAGCTTCAGGAGACTGTGATGAGGCAGCAAGGGTAGCCAGGTGAGACTCTGTTAGTGCAAGAGGTGCTTGTGCATTTTTAGAGTCATCTGTCATAGACAGTCTGTGGGGAGGAGTAATACCCATCCAGCCCATGAGTAAGGAAAAATAATTTGGGTGAATGTGGCACATTGAACAAAGGAGACTATCAACAGCTTTCTTCAAAACCATATTGCAAGGTAGTGACATGGACCAATTAAAGAGAGATCTAAGGAAAGGGAAAAAAAGATAATCAGAATATGCTACATTCTCATTTCACCTAGTTAATCACCACAAACAGGCTATTCAATCATTATAATACAGTGGATAAAAGAAGCAGATAGGAAAATTCCTCTGCTGAAAGTATGGAGCTTGTCCTATCAGAGTAGTCATATGGTTGGATCCATGCAAACAGTTGATTACAGCTGAAGGAAAAGGGGGAGGGAATAAAAGCTCAAAGTGTTTATAGTAATATGGGACAGGAAAATGTTTCAGTTATATATCAACCAAGTTCTGTCAAGAATTCTGAAGATTTCTCTGGAGACAGGCAGAGGGTATTCCAAGCCAAGAAGAATACAAGTTGCTGGATGCCTCTCTGCCCTTCTTCATCTATACTCAACTTATGCTTCTTTTAGACATTTATTTATCATATGGGCTGTGAAGGAGATGTGGGACAATTAGCTGCTTAGGAAAGATAGGTATAAATACAAATAGATGGAGAAGCATCATTAATGGCTCTGCAAACCCCTCTAATTCCCTGCCTACCTTTGGGGGCAGTCTGCAAGACTCTCAATAGTTATAGCTTGCATGTTGCTTCTTTGGTGACTCACATGTTGCTTCTTTACTAATTATGAGTCATATTTAGCAAAAATCTTATGTACAGTAAAACAAAACAGAACACACCAACCAAGTTCATGTGCAAAACATGTATGTCAGCCACTTTGCTTGGTCTTTTTATTTTGTCAGAGACACAATTTCAGTGCTTATACACTGTAGTGTTCACATAAAAATCTAGCCTATTTAATTTATGTTTTAAGAAAAGTAACACTTAAATAAAAATTTGGGAAATTCCAGTAAAACATTTTACAATGTGTGTCATTTAAGTATGCAATTCTTGATGAAAAACCTTCTTTAAACTGGGACTCTGTGCTATGTCTGCATCTGAACAATAAGCTTCCTATATTCTATGCATCAGATCTAAAGACATGATGGAGATGGGCTATACCTTTTAATAGTTATAAAATATATGGCTGAGGTTTTGAAATGAATGCTTCTAAGAACAACAGATTTGTATTTTAAAATATCTACTCCAGCACTACTGGTTTCCTAACTATATCATGCCATAATTAGAGAATGAAAAAACATCAGAGGAATTCTGAAAATTACCATGTTTTAAATGGGTGAAAAGATGTTTGGCTTTATATATAATGGATCTATTTGTTAGCCAATGTTATGGACTAGGTACTGGCCAAAGTGAAGCAACTAATTCATGTTATGTTGTGAAAGCATGGAATAGACCTGTTCTAGATATTAAGAGTGATAATTCATAACCAACAGAGATTTTACTCAGTGTACACCAAATTCAAATCCTTTCAATATGAATTTGGTGTCAGAACCAAATTCTGTAACACATAAAGATACAACACTAAAAATGTTTTTTAAAAAAATTGAAAAATACAGTATCAGGACCAGTTTATATCCAACCATTTCTGTGATATTTAAACAAAAGTCCATCTTAAAATATAAGCAAAATAAAATAAAATCTGCAGTTCACAACTAATTTGTATAACTAATGCTCAAAAGTATTAGAAAGAAATATAAAGATAGCTTACATATGACACAAATGCTTCCTTACGCTACTTACTCAAAAAGCTCCCCATTCAGCAATGCTGGTAAGTCATAGTCCACAAGCAATTCATAACTGTGCCATAAAATTGCTGCCACACAGTGCAAATGGGAAGGAGATGGCATGAGAAGACCATACTCTCTTGTAGAGCTGTTTGGACAGACGTAGTTAATTCGGCCACTTTTTTTCATAGCAGCTACTCTGGCCGAATCGCTTACCCACTTCAACAGGGCTTGAATTCTAAAAGAGAAAGAGATTTCTACAATCCTAGAAAACAACATTATATGAACTCCAAGTAGAACTGAAAGCCACTATTTTAAATAATTCTGTTAAAGTTAGCATACCTAAATTAACAGGGCACTGTTAAGAGGTGGGAGAATTTCAGAAAATTTGCATGTTTTTTGTTCTGTTATGTCCATTTCAAAATTTTCCAGCTCCATATAGAAATGGTGGAATGAGAAATGAAATCAAACGAAAGTCATCTTAGTACCATAACTCCTAAAAGCCATTTCACTCTGGCTTCTGTTTGTTGGGCTCCATTCATTTTCAATAACTGCATACTCATGTTCTTGTACAAATACTGGTGCTTCCTTCCTCTAGATTTGGTGGACTTAAAACTCTCATCAGCTTCATCTAACATGACCAATGCTCAAGTACACAGAGAGTTATAGCCAAACATAATTCAAGAACATCAGGCTAGGGAAAGAAGTGATATATGTTTCCTCACTGACACAGCAGCGTCAGCATTATAATACCACAAAGTTTGAACAATGTCACCACTCTCCATTCACAAGTACCCACAGAACACACATACATGAATATGTGTCCATGTGCCTATATGTAAAAAGCTCTGTATCCAGATTATTGGGAGACATATTTGAAGCCAGTCTGAGAAATGCACTATAAATCTTTTCAATGTAGGCATCCTGCATTTTGTACATCTTTGCAGTGTGTGCACGTATTTTTTTAAAACAAAAACAAACTGTTTACCTATCTTTTGTTCCAGGGTCCTGAGTTGTCCCAAGCTGATAGAGAATGTCAATTGTGGAGTCAGATGACAGCCCATTTAGTCTTCCAAAAAGCAAGGGACTATTCAAATCTTCCCATATAAAAGAGAAGTAGAAGTTTTATTAAGAGTACAAAGAGCAGCATATGTCTCATTGTCCCAGAAAATGGTTTGTATTGGCCTAAAGAATAAAAAGACCTTGACAAAATATATTTATTTCCAAATACTACTGTATTTATTTGCATGCCACTCTTCTGATTCAGTAACGGATTTCTTTGAACTCCGCAAGATTATCTCTCTCCATTTCAAGTTACATAATTAAGAAAACTGGGAATAATATCAAGCCACAGTCTTACCTGTTGGATCACTTCCAGATGCAGAACAGTTTCTTAAAAGAATGTCTATTAATTTTAGGCCTATCTTGGTGGACTGAAGGCCAATTTTTACGAGCACAGCTTCAATATTTGGAGAATGCATGCCACAGTATGGAGACATTAGCAGAGCAGCACATGTTTGCAACAGATTTGCAGTAGGTGCTGCAGCACTAGCCATCATTCCTTCTAAATCGCTTATGTGAGTGAGGCAATGATGTAACAACCTTAACCATCCAATGCTGGAAAAAAGAGGGAAAAAATTAAAATGGAAGGAAGGATTCCATCTTTACTTCAATGAAAACAGCTAAGAAGCTTTGTGACACTGATTTTGAGAACAGGGAGGTTGGAAATCATGCTGACTAAGTTTAATTTGATAATCTGAGGAGCACAAGTGAAAGAAACTGGCAAATATTTAGGGTTTTGACAAATATAGCAATTATGATTTATATATACATTATACACATTATACTTTATATTACAATGGTGCCTTGCTTGATGAGGATAATTCGTTCTATTCAAATTGCTGTTAAGCGAAATCCTCGTCAAGTGAAATGAAAAAGCCCATTGAAATGCATTGAAAACCGGTTCAATGCGTTCCAATGGGTGAAATACGTCAGCGTCCAGTGAAGATCCTCCATAGGGCAGCCATTTTCTGGTGCCTGTAATGCGAGGAGTCTGTCCTAAAGCACAGCAGGGAGCCATTTCGCAATCTGACAATCAGCTGTTTTTGATCGTCGTTAAGCGAAAAATCTATTCCCGAAGCAACGTTAAGCGAAAAAAGCCCATTCATTCGTTTACTGAAACTAATCTTCAAGTGATTTCCTTGTCTAACAAGGTAATTGTCAAGCAAGGCACCACTGTACAGTGGTACCTCGACTTACGAACGTATCCACTTGCGAACGTTTCAAGTTACAAACAGCTCTGCAAAATGTTGCTTCGACTTGCAAATGGAACCTCGACTTACGAACCAAATAAAATGGAAAAAACCTTTCCTGCCCTTTTTTGACCTAAGTTCATCTTAGGTGAAAAGAAGAAAAAAATTAAAAAATTCTCCCCCCAGTGGTAGAGTACAGATTAACCGGCTTTGCATTAGTTCCTAATGGGAACTAATGCATCTACCTACGAACAGCGCCTCGACATACGAACAAAAAACAGCAGGTATGGATTAAATGGTTTTCAATGCATTCCTATGGAAAAGTTTGCCTCGACTTACGAACTCTTCGACGTACGAACACCGTTCCAATACGGATTAAGTTTGTAAATCGAGGTACCACTGTACAAAGCTTGGATAAAATGTTTGAATTGTTTCGTGTGCTGTGTTGATGAAGGGTCCCAAGTAAATCTGAGTATCCCTATGTTGATCAAGATCAAAATTATAAGATCCTGTGCCATTGCCATGTGACACTCAGGGAACTGAGAAAGATTTATGTTACATGTCTCTCAAAATAAAACAAGAGGTGTCTTAGTATTTACAGAAAGTGAGGCTGGTGGCTGCAGTAGCACCACCAGAAGTCTCAAATGATGTTGAATGGAGGCGTTCAAGAGTAAGCTATCCAAGGGTCCCCAAAATTTGAAATCGGTTCTTTCACTTTTATATAGCATATTCAAGCAAATTACTATATAGAAGGATGGGCAACCCTTTTAAAAGAACCCACTCAAACTTAAAAAGATGCCTAACACAAATCCTCTACATCTATTTGTCAGGTATCTGGCAGATTTCATCCCCTCAGGAGTGGCTACTGAGCTGGCAAAATTCATCCTGTTAAAGTGAAAAAGTTGTAGGCATTCGTTGATTCTAGTCTATGGAGAAGACATCCAGGATTTTAAAAAAATTCAAGACGATTCTCTACTTCATGTTTGAGGGGAAGTGTGACATCAATACAAGCAAACAAGGAAGATTCCAAGGAAGCCCTAGAACCTTACTAAGACCAAGAGCAATACAGAACATGGATGGGGCAGTCCTAGTCCAGAAACCAAACTCAGCCCATGGAATTATCACTGCCAGCCAAGGCTTCCCCTTCCTGGCCTCTTTCTTCCTCAGTGCAGCAACTGCATTTAATTTTATCTTTTAAATTGCTCACTGGAACCAGTGAGAGCTTCCATTAGCATCTGAATCCCATGTGGGCTGCACAAAGTCTTTTTCTGGAAGCTGCAGCTGGAGAGAGAAGGGTTAACACTGCTTCCTTGTATTCTCCAGTGATAGCAGACCCCTGCACATTGGAAGGTTCTTCTCAAATCCATTTGCTTCACTAGAGATGGAATCTTCAAGGGCATATAGCTATATTTCTGATCTATCCACTGCTGGGTTGTCATGACAGAATGAAACCCCTCAGAAAGAAAAGCTTCCATATCATAAAGATTTTTGGCCTCTAGTAAGTCAGTCTTATAAGGTAGGACAAAACTAAAACAGTAACAGATTATTTGTTTTTTGTATCTATTGGAACAACATACCTTGTTTTGGATACCTGGTCTTCAGAGGGAAGGAATGGATTATTTACAGTTGCAGATGAAGTGTTGCCAAAGGCAGTGAGACCAAGCAATTTAATCTGAGAGAGACCCAACGTGCTAGCATCTCGAGGGCGGTGAAGGCGAAGACAAACAGCTGAGGCAACTTCAGCTTTTACAAGTTGTATTTTTATGTAGGTAAGACCACTTGTGATAACAGGTGTAGACAAGGGTAGCATATTCACTCCATCTGCACTTATTTCAATGGATACTGATGAAGGACATGCTGTAGATACACAAAGAAGTATTGTCACTTAGATGTGATCACAATTTTACTGCTATGAGAACTAAGTAAATAGACTTTGAACAGAGAGAGAACAAGCTGTAATTCAAAAGAGGGACTTTTTTCAAAATGAACAGACTAGTAAAAATAAGTTGAAATGGGAGGTCTCACATCTCTAGATGGCTAAGGTTTATTCAATGCCACAGTAAGAGAAGCTCTGCTATGATGTATTTTTAAGATGAGGAATGGAACCATGATTTCAGAGACCTACTGAAACTAATCTGTGCCTCCCAAAAGAGCCAGCCTTTGTGGCCTTGGGCAGGCTGCACAGTCCCAGGATATCCTCAGAAGAAGGGAATGGTACACTTCTGAGGGCTCACTACCTAGAAAACCATGAAAAGGATCCCATACGTCAGAATTGGCTTGATGGCACACACACACAAAAAATTTGCAAAAAGGTTCCCTTCAGGAAACGGAATTTTTGAATAGATTAGGAAAAACAAAACAAAAATAATGCAAATAAAAGACAGGCCAAAAACAGTATTTCTGAAAACATTTGGACCAACAATAAACCATTCTTTAAATGCATCAGAAGGAAACCTGTTCAGTGAGAGTGTACAATTCGTGGCAAATTGTGAATTTGCCTCAATGGTGGCAGCCATGCTCCCCTCCTGTTTCAACATTTTCATTTACGGCATCAATGTAGTACCACGCAAAATGGTGCTGAGATGGGAGTAACCCCGTGCCATTTGCAGCATGCTCACGTAACCCCACTGGAAAAGTCTAAGGCTAATGAGAAACATAAGGCTACCAAATCCCCTGATTGTGGCAATGGCAGCAAGATACAGTACAGTTTTGGTATAGAAAGTTTTCCTCTGTCTCTCACTTCCAAAATATGTTTCTTGATTCTTTGCTATCTCTTGTGGGTGATACAAGCTTTTCTGTTCTTCCCTGAGTCTAGGAAAGGCTGGGTGGACTGGAAACCTTGATTTCTGTTTCCAGAAAAATTGCAGAATTAATTGAGAAGAGTAGTTGACGTTTTGTGTTGGAGTCAAATGCATTCATTTTAGATGAAGGATGCTCTCTCTTTCTCCCTATCCATTTGAAAACAATCCACATCCTGCTGGAGACAATGACAAGATTACAAATGAACTTAATGGCTCCAGATTGCATCCTTAACTGGGAAGTAAGGATTATTCATTTAAATGAAATTTATCTTCCAGATTAAGCACCCTGATCCTATTTGTGCTTTACCTGGAAGTTACAGTCCAGGTTCAAGTTGCACTACTGTGCACAAGTGAGTAAAAACCCATTGAAGATCAGGAATACTGCATTCCTATATATCAGGTAACCATGTAGTCACAAATCAAACTTCTCTGACATAAGATACAGTATGTACATGTACTTAGGTTTGAAGCATATCTTAAAGTCCTTAAATCAAGATAATTTCCATTTCAAAAACCCAAATACTGAGCACATTTTCACAGAAGGAAGAAGTCCTGGCTGATTTTAAATTTACAGCTGACAGGCAGCATAATCTGAAACGAATTATTGACTGGGAAATAATTTATACTGGGTTCAATGGGACTTCACAGCATCAGCACTTGGTCACTGACTGGAAAGCTGTGAAAGTAGAGATGCCAGGATTCACTCCTTCCCTGCTACTACCTTCAGAAAACAGAGCCCAAGCCTACTTCTTCTTAGATCTCATTTCAATCAAGTATGTACTCCTGTCTAGGAAGAAAGCATATTGATCACAGTAGTACAAATGTACATAGGCAGACATGGATGGCAGACATGGCAAGAGAGGCCACAGAGAATGGCAGAAGGTGAAATGTACATAATTCATGAGATTAGCCATCATCCCCTGCCATGGCATCAACCTCTTCATGTGAAGCTGAGATGAAGAGTTCACCAAATCTGTTCCCCTTTTTTCCCTTCCTTAGGAAAGGAGTAACTCTTGAGAAACAAGAATGGACGACCTTTGACAGCAGCCACCTACCATTCCACCTACCAGTCCATCCCAAGCCCCAGCAGTGAGTCCGGGTACCTGGTGCTAGCCTGCCTTTGTCCACAAAGCTCAAGAAATGGCTTCCCCTTGGACACCTTAACAGGGGAAGAAAATGAATAACCTCCTTCCCCATCAGTATCCATTACAGTAGCTCAATAACACCTTTCCAAACATATAAATGTACAGAATAATGAGCATCCCAGTACTGCAAAAGATGTTCACTGTAGAAATTCCACTTTCTTTTCACAGATCCTGTGGAGAATCAGTAGGATGATGATGTTTTCATTTCAGGGTAAGTATAACTGGCAGGTCTTACTGAAGGTTTTGCTGGGATTAAGCTACCAGTAAGTCACGCATAGCACTGGGCTGGCACAGGTGTCTGACTTTCATCTTGTACACCACCCTCTAATATAAGCATGTGGAGCTGGAGCACTGAGAAGGATATCCATGGCAGCTGTAGGAGACTGACTGACTGTGCCTGGAAGATTTCACTGGATGACTCAGTGGAAACAATATGCATCTCCTCTATATTGCATCCAGAGTGGTGTGTTTAACTTTTAGGTTAATTCGGTGACTTGATTCCTTTAGACTTGTCCACCTCCTGCTTCGGAACCAACAGGGTCAGTACCAACAAGGCTTTCTTATACCAAGTTGCCTCTCCCCATTGGAGTAATTAGGGCCTTCAGGTGATTACATATCAGTTCCATCTGACCTGAGGTAGTTGCTGGTAGCATCTTCTCCAATAGCAATTTAGCCAGCAATTTTCACCTCGCTCCTCATTTGGGCTGAAAATCTTAAAGAAACTGCACAAGATGTTGTTCCACTGTCAAGGTGCTTATGTAAACCACCTAGTGTAGTGCTTGCATAATGGGGCAGAATATAAATTGAATATACAGAATAAATAAATCACATAGTTCCATACTTACTTGCAAGAGATGCAAGATGAGGCTGGATGTGTATTTCTTTTAACAGCACTGCAGCTGGAAGGTGGATTGTAAGGTCACACCAGGCCTCCTCTGGCAGAAAAATATAGGACCATGCAGCAGACCGAGCTCTTCTGTGAGGTGGAGTTGCCTGTAGGAGAACTTCGGCCGGCTGGGCTGTAGGACTGCTTGAAGTGATTGAACCTTCAATAAATAATTGCTGTTAATATAGTGTGTAGGATTTCAAATATGAGATCACAAAAACTTGCAAATATGAAGAGCTTATTAAAGAAAAAAAGGCTATAGTAAGCATGTATTATGGGGATTAGTGAGATAAACTGAAATGAAAAATACAAAAAAATTTCTTTCCCCTCATCTTCATTTATAGCTATGCAACAAATTACTGCTATGTCTGATATTGATTATTACATACGAACTCTTCTGTGAAGAACTTCAGTTTTAAAGTCTGATAAAGAAAAAAACTAATTAGCCCTAGCATGAAGTCAACATCAGTGCCATGCAACACTTAACCATGGTTAACACTGGTGGAGAAAGGAAAACATATTTCTGCTCCAGAAGCAAGGACTGGACAGGAACGCCCAATTTTATGTCTTGCTACCAACTATTTATACAGTGTCAAGGAAACAGAGCTGTTACATATGAATTTTTCCAGCGTATGTAGTGCATATCTATAATTTTCCTTCCATAAATCTTGAGTAAACAGCTGTTCTCTACCCTATCAAATCTTTCTCATTTTGTGCAACAACTTCTAACAGCCTTTACTAGGAAGAATAAGTAAAAACTGGATAAAGTTTTTAATCCAATTAGACAAATAAAATAAAGTCACAAACTTGGAAGGGGTATAAAATATCTTTCAAATATTTCACTTTCAAAGGCTTAGCAGAAAATGAAATGTGCAACAAGTTATAAACATTGCAGAATACCAGACTGCTAACCACTAATATACTTTTCAGTGTAACAACGGACCACAGCTAATATCCTCCAACAAGAAGACAGCAGGAGCCACACTCACACAAGCAGTATTTTGAAACATGAAAGTAAATTTCAAGTACATTTTATCTGTCACTAACTCACTATAATAATGGAGGAGCATTATACTAATTTTGCTCTGCAGCCTTCTCAGTCTAGAATTCTAAAAGTTTGGACCATCTCCAGACATAATTATCAGTCATGCTTGATTGGGATTATAGCAGTTATCCCCCAATATTTTGGAAGAATATACAGTAGTTGGGTAAGACTGCCTTTCTAACCTTACCTGGGCTGTTGTGGAATGGGGCTGTGACATTTTTTAAAAAATATCTTTGTAAACTTCTAGAACATTTAATATATTTTATAAACCAGTGGGACCTGCAACAAAATGTTGCAGTGTCTACTGCTCTTGTTCAGGATTCTATGTAGTCCAGAGGTCCCCAATCCCCAGTCTGCAGCCCATGCCAGTCAGACCTCCTGCCCCACCTCCGCATGCACTCACCCCTGTACACCCCTTTTGCGCCTGCGCGCACACTACCACATGCCCTTGTGAGCGCTGCACTGCCGTTTGCATATGTGCACAAGCGCAAGTACACCCCGTTTGCGCCTGCATGCACACTCCCGCATGCCCTTGTGAGCGCTGCGCTGCCGTTTGCATATGTGCACAAGCGCAAGCACGCCCAGACAAGTGGTGCCATTTGCGCACGGGTGCGCATGTACTCGTGCGAGAGAGCGCTTGTTCGCACGTGCGCTTGAGCGGGGGGGTGCCTCGCCTTCCCGAGCTGGTCCGCGGACTGAAAAAGGTTGGGGCAGTGCCATTTGCGCATGGGTGCGCATGCACTCGTGCGAGAGAGAGCTCTTGTTCGCACATGCGCTTGAGCATGGGGGGGTGCCTCACCTTCCCCAGCTGGCCCACGGACTGAAAAAGTTTGGGGACCGCTGATGTAGTCAGCCAGATCCTTCTCCAATATACTCATTCCGTTTTTGCTCCAATGTAACATTTCCCCTCTGCCTCAATCATCCTGCAGTCCAGCGCTACTGAGCATACTCAGTCTTCATTGAGTTGTTTTGGTATACTCCATGTAAGGATTTTTTCCCAAGCAAATTTCTGTACTTTTGCAAGCTTATGGTCTGCTAATAATGTATATGGAAGGTACTGTCTGGATACATAAGAGTAAACACTTGGCTAAAGAGTTCACTTTTATGAAGAGGACAGTGACAATAATTATTCTGATGTTGTGCATGTAAGGTCTGGTTTCTAGTGCTTCACAATAACGCTAATAAAGGTGGCTCATAACATACCCAATGGTGCAAAATTGTGGATTCCTTCTGCATTATCTGGCTCAGAAGCTAGTACTCTTGCCTTCAGACTATTATCTGTGGCCTTGCTAGGGCCAGAGTCCAGAAATTTCATAATAGTTGAAACCATGCTTCTTGCTGTGTTTACAATGGCTCTGGTACTGGTCACCATGTTATTGCAAATAAGCTGAACACCCCCTGGAAGTACAAAAGAAGGTTAATTAAATACCATATTTTTCCGTTTACAAGACGCCCCAAAGTATAAGACGAATCCCTCTTTTTCTAAATCCAAATTTAAAAAAGCAGGGATCAAAGGGCTTCCTTTTTGCTAAGCCCTGTGCCTTGCTTGCCAAAAGGCAAGGAAAGTGGCTGTCAAAGTGACTGCCTACTTTTCCTGGCCTTTTGAGAAGGAGGTTAGCAAAAAAAGGCGAGGGTGCGCTGGGTTTAGCAAAAAGGGAAGAGAAGCCGTTGTTGCCTTTCCTTTGCTAACATTGTTTTGTTGCCTCCAAGGCAGTGGTGATCGGGCTGGTGGGGAGGAGGCAGCAGCTGGAGGCACTGGAGTGTGTGTGAATGCTCCTTCGCCTATGCCTCCCGCTGTCTCCGCCCCTGGAGGGGATGGAGGGACAAGGCAGAGACTAAGCTGAGCCCCTCAGTCTCGCTGGAGGTGGTGATCGGGCGGGTGGGGAGGGGGGGAGGCAGGCATCAAGAGGCGCTGGAGCGTGTGTAAATGCTCCTTCGCTTTCGTCTCTGCCTCCTCTTGCTGCCTCGGCCACAGAGGGGAAAAGCCGTGAGCTCAGAAAGAGGCAATTGGGCGGCAGCAGCAAGAGGCACCCGAACGTGCGTGCGACTGCTTCCTTCCGCTTATAAGACAACCCACAAATTTTCCTCTAATTATTTTAGGAAAAAAATGTCATCTTGTACACAGTAAAATACGGTAAGTCCAACTAGTTTCCAGCACAGGTTTTGGCAAAACAACAAATCAGGATTTCCTGAGTATGCAGAAATTAAGACTAATTCACACTGGGTTTAGCCCATTACAGACCTCTTTTCATCCCCAAGCCACTCTGGATGGTCAGCAGCTACTAGCAAGAACACAGGTTGCAGCTCGGCATTATACAGACTGGAGAACGGAGATTAGAGACTCCTTTATGATATGCAAAAGCTGTTTTGGCTCATTCTTTTCTAATTACAGCCTGACATTCTAATTGTAACAACATTGCAGGAGATGTGACAAGATCCTTACCCATATCATGAAATGCTTTCAGTGCCTCACTGGTATCAAGCACTCTTAAGATGAACCAAAGCAGTGGCTCAGACAACTGGCAAGTAGCAAGAGAACCCTAGTAGAAATGCAAAGAATTATATAGCTACAAGCTTGCATAATCATGCTATCTGAATACTGATAAACCAGTAAATTACAAACAATTAATTCCTTTCCATAGCCCATATCTCCACTCTAAAGGGATCAACGTATGCCTGATCTCTATGTTTTGCACCTTCCCTCAATATTAACTAACAAATGGCCAGCCAAGTTTTATAATTTTTATTTTGTTTACTAAACTTATGTCATCGTGCCTTTCTACTAAAATTCTTTCTTTAATAAATAACGATAACACACAAGAAAACAATGAAGTTACAACTGTCTATTTAGGCTCCTGCATTAATAATCTTCTAGAAGGGAAGACACTGACTCTTCCGGAGACTTATGAGGAAACTGTGCTGACTGAAGGTAAGGAAAGATCTTATTTATTTATTTACAATATTTTTAGCCGCACCATTGCCAGTGGCTTCTTAGTTCCAGATAGGAGAGTATCTCTAAAAACAGTGAACTTCCTCTTGCAATGGCTCTTGGAGAAAGTAATTCAGGCACAAACAGGGTATGCAAGTATGCCTGTGAAATGCAAGAGGTGCTACAAAGAGAGTAACGAATTTTGAGAATAGCCAAAGAGCTGATCTAACATTAGCAGAAAGTCTTGCAACTCAGTTCTGGGTTTAGCATGAGGGAAAAAAAACCCATCTTAATTGCACAAGCAAGCAAGACCTCAATGCATGTTTATCTTTATATGTAAGCTAAATGTAGTGCTAGCAAGTATGGATGAAAACAACTAAATGTTTGAAGTTGTACGTTGATTTAGGCATTTATTTATTTGATTTCTACCCCGCCCCTCTAGACAGCGTCTACTCCGGGCGGCTATCTTAAACTATCTTGGCTTTTAAAGGCTGACCTTGCAAATCATGCAGGGATAGAGTTCAACAAAGACAGTAGGCTAGTTGCTGGAACAGTAAATGTGGAGCTGGGAAGGGCCAGAGAAAAGAAAAGAGAAAGGAAATTTATTTAATGAAGCCTTTTATTTATTATTAAACAAAACAATAAATAAAAAGCATCATTGTACTTGTACTCCGCTACTTCTCTTCTGTTACTGCTCTACTCCAACTGCCAAAAGTCAAAGATAATTCTTTTGAAGCAGTATGTGAAAAAATTTCCAGTATATAAGTGTATCTTAATCACTGTTTCCCTAACTTCTTGCCAATTATATGCTTCTCATTAATTGGGCCTGGCTGCAGCATTTGAGATAAAATGAAATTATGACATGCTGGTCAGAGGCAACCATATGTACAGTATGTCCTCTGAAGATGTCGGCCACAGAGACTGGCAAAACGTTAGGAAGAACAACCTTCAGAATGCAGCCAAAGAGCCTGAAAAACCCACAACAACCATTAGATCCCAGCCGTGAAAGCCTTCACGAATAAAAAGCACAAAATATTTCTAACAAAGTGTCGCCTTACTGGCTTCACAATCACTTTACAATAACTAGTATTTTAGTTAAAGCAAAGCAAAGCAAAGCGTGCTGCTTATATACTGCCCCATAGCGCTTCAGGCAGTCTCTGGGTGGTTTACAAGTTAATTATGCAGGCTACACATTGCCTCCCCCCCAGCAAGCTGGGTACTAATTTTACCGACCTCGGAAGAATAGAAGGCTGAGTCAACCTTGAGCCGGCTACCTGGGATTGAACCCCAGATCATGAGCACCGTTTTGGCTGCAGTACAGCCCATCAATTCACCCTGTGGAATCTTTACCCTAAATAAATGTCTCATAGCCAAAAGTCACTCACAGACATTAACAAATTCCCTTCTTCCTTGGAGGCCATCAGCAATAAGCGGGGTGGCCAAGGTATTCTCGAAGGCTTTCACAGCCAGGATCCAATGGTTGTTGTAGGTTTTCCTGGAGAACACGGCCAAACAGCCCAAAAAGCCTACAACAACCAACAGGGTGTCCAAGCATCACTGGTTATTCCTTTAACATGGACATTTACTTTTTAAGTTAACAATTTGTCTTTAACCTAATGAATTTTAATAACATGCACTTTGCTTAAAGAATCATTCTCTAAGAATAATAGAAAAGTCAAGTTGGAAGGGTCCTACACGGCCATCAAGTCCAAGCCTCTGTTCAATGCAGGAATACAGTACTGTAATTTATTAATATTCAAACATACTAGACAAGTGGCAATTTGCTACAACTTTTAGGACATAGACAATGTTTTTCCCTTCCTTTGCCACTTAGTTTTTTTCTGCAACTTTTTCTCCTCAAATGATTTACTATCAGTCTGCTAAAAGTCAGGCTGAACCTTGAAATGGCTAAGTCTAAGGGATATGTACTGTATGTGGGCACTGTTCATTTGGCAGCCCATCTAGCCTTGGTACAGCCTGCTACTCAAAAACACACAATGCATGCTATACGGCAAAGGGGAGAGTAAGTGGGGACCTTTTATGTGTACAATGTACTAATGCATTGTAAGGTCCACATAGTCAAAGCTATGGTCTGTCCAGTAGCGATGTATGGAAGTGAGAGCTGGACCATAAAGAAGGCTGACCGCTGAAGAATTGATGCTTTTGAATTGTGATGCTGGAAGAGACTCTTGAGAGTCCCCTGGACTGCAAGGAGACCAAACTTATCCATTCTGAAGGAAATCAACCCCGAGTGCTCGCTGGAAGGACAGATCCTGAACCTGAGGCTCCAATACTTTGGCCATCTCATGAGAAGGGAAGATTCCCTGGAAAAGACCCTGATGCTGGGAAAGTGTGAGGGCAAGAGGAGAAGGGAATGACAGAGGATGAGATGGTTGGACAGTGTCATCGAAGCTACCAACATGAATTTGACCAAACTCTGGGAGGCAGTGGAAGACAGGAGGGCCTGGCATGCTCTGGTCCATGGGGTCACAAAGATAAGAAGCAATGAAATAAATTATAAACACTTACTTGTCTTCCCATATAGCCACAGGCCATGTAGGTAAGAATAGGCTGAAGCATCACCTGTACTGTAGTGGCTTTTTTACTCAGTGTTGTTAGTATGGTAAATAAACCATCTCCAACTGATATGGCATCTAATCCACCATGAAAATTCTCATGTTTTGTAAGATGTAAACCACTTGCACCTGGGAATAATAAAACAGATCTGAATTAGTCTGGAGGTAATGAAGCGATATTTGCTAAATTCAGAGAATATTATGATAGCCTTTCCCCATATAATCATGTTGTCCCCCCTTATATACATACTGTAAAACAGAATGCTATACAATTATCAGTTCATGTTTTTCTGTTGATGTAATGATGGCATGCAAGGTAAACTTAACTTAGCCTGCAGGACTGTTAGGAATGTAAACAAGAACATAGGAAATCAATTAAGTTCCCCCCCATGTTACACACCAAATGAACAGTAAAAATAGTTACTTTCCCCTTGTTCATATACAGTGGTGCCTTGCTTAGCGATTGCTTTGTTTAACGATGCAACCGTTTAACGATTAGTTTTCCGGAGCGATCTTGCGCTCCGGTTAACAATGTTTCCTATGGGCGATTTTCGCATAGCGATGTTTGGGACCTTGCTTTGCATAGCGATGACAGTTTGGGTCCCCCCGTTTCACTTAACGATGGTTTTGACAGCCTTGTGTTGGCTGTCTTTTAAATGTTTAAAAATGTTTAAAAAAAGTTTAGAATGCTTGAAATCATAAGTGCACTTAATAAACCCTTTGTTAAACTAATTTGACTTTGTTCTGACTCTGTTCGAATTTGTTGTAATTTCCCCCGCCTTGAAATGCATTGAATAGGTTTCGCTTAGCGATGTTTCCTACTGCGATATTCGCTTAAGCACGGCAATCCGTTCCCATTGGAACGGATTATCTGGTTTTCAATGCATCTCTATGGGAAAACGCGTTTCGCTTAGCGATGTTTTCCCATAGCTATTTTTTTTTGCACCAATTAAAATCGTTAAGCAAGGCACCACTGTAATTGTAGTTGAATCGTAATACAATAGCGGTTTGCCTTTATTCTAAAAAAAATCTATCCTCTTGAACCTTGTTACACTGCTCCTCAAATGTACCAGTACAAACCTGATAAAACTTCAGAGACAAAAAAATTATAATTATAAAGGAGGCTTTATCTGAAAGCAGCTATTTTGTTTTCAAAACTGTGAAGACAGAACTGTCCTCCTCAAGTTGCAATACTAATAGAAATTTATTGAAGGGCTCTCTCTGCAGAAGGATATGTTGTGCATTCACAGAGAGCCTTCCATACAGTATAACTCCAACTCTACTAGAGTCTGACAATGAAGGCTAACCAATGGCATTGTTATAATCAGGTGACCTGTTCCGATCTGCTCATATATTTTAGATGTTTGTTATGTTTTTCCTTTGCTTAACTGGTCATTTTATTAAGGTTTTGATTTGCTATTATGCTATATTCACAGATCTTAGATAAAAAACTTGTTGTCACTTATGTACACCAGCTTGGAATCCTTTCGAAAAGTAGTCAAGGAATAACAAGCTATTTAATTAAATATGTCAATTTTAGTTTCAGGTTTCCTGTTTTATCAAGTGGTTGGAGTCTGAGTCCTTTCCAGCTCGGCTATTTTATAATTCTGTGACCATCATTACTTCTTAGCTAGCCTGCAAGCAACAGAAAACATTCAGGCAGCTATAATAGTTCACCTAACCTGATTCTGAATTTCTAACAGTTATGTCGGCTCTTATTTCAGGCTAGTCAAAATGATCTAAAATGCGCCACAGAACAGAGTCCTCTTAGGAGTTGAGGGGTACAGCACTCCATATAATCCACAATTTACATGAGCTGGGAGACTAGTCCATTTAAAGCACGAAGGCTTCTTTGTGCACAAGTAGGTAGCGACTAGGCTCTTGTACAATAGACAAAACAAAAACCAAGGGCCTCATTCAAGGTCACTGTACATGCTGTTGAAACAAAAGGGATTCTGACCACAGAAAAACTAAAAAATGGAGAGCTGTCAGTTTGCTACACCCTGTGTCTACCAACATTAGGCTTTGTTATACGCTAGCATGGGAGACTGCCTGGTCACTGTACCTAAAATGCTCTTGAGTTTTTACAAGACAAGCAGTATATACATCTCACAAACAGATAATTAAATTCACTATGGAAATACCTACCAATTATCATCGCCATGGCACTGCTGTTACACTGACCCAGAGCAGAGAGAATCTGGCTCATAATCTGTTGGTTTGCTAACACAAGGTCAGCGACATAGGCTGTTGAGCCTTGAGTACTGCCAGTGTTGCCGTTGCTATCTTTTCCACCAGAAACCTTTTCTTCATCAGAAACGCTGTCCATAGTGCTGCTGGCCACTTGAGCCCGAGCACTATACTCTCTGTTGCTTGAAAGTGGCAGCTGCACTAGAATATTGACCAGCTTCAGCAAATCAAACATCAGCTGATCCCTTGTCATCTCTCCACAGACTGCCTTAGCATCCCCTGGCCGGATGATGTTGGCAAAGAGCCCTCCGAAACATGCACGGGCACCCACAGAACTGTCAGACCCACTGCGAGACATCACTTTGTCAGCACATGTAATGTAATGGTGCACCAGAAATGTGATGGATTCAATGACAGCGGAAATAGTGCTCACTGAAACAACTTCAAAGTTTTGCTCAAGTGTAAATTCCAGAAGCTTCACTTGTGCATCCAAAGGTCCCTGGCCAGTCTGGAAAGCACCTCTGCAAGTGAATATAATTAAAATTAGAATTATTTTAGCCCATGAAAAGCAGTAGCTCTCACATACTGAATACACTCATGTAACAAAATAACTGTCTGTGCAACTACTCTGCTTTTCATTGGGAGAAAGACATCCTATAAATGAGACAAATAGATGAGATAGATTAGATAGACAGGACAGATGTTTTCATGCCAATAAAGAAGGAAATAATAATTGCAACCCATTATAACCTGCAGTTCATTCTGACATATATTGTTAGAGGGAAGGACATGCAACTAGGAGCTTCACTAAATGTCAAGGACCCTTAAGAGGCTGCTGAGCAAGTGGAGGACTGCTCCTTGTGACAAGCACATCAAACATTTTGTTCAACAACTTTCTACGGCTCATTCTGCTCCCTCAACCCACAAGAGGGAAGAATCAAGAATCCAAACTTTCATAATAGCTGTCTATAAACAGGGCAACATGAAAGAGAACTCACTGCTGTCCCTTTTAGGAATAGACCTAAGAAACCTAAGGTCCAAATGCGTAATCATTTTGGCTTCCAACCCATTTGTGGAACTATTGTTCCCTTCAATCTTAAATATTTCTAGGGAACTCCTAACTAGCTTCTGTGATGCTACTTGTTATCTGTCCTGCCAGTTCTCATGCAATAAAAAGGGTGGGAAACACTGGCTACCTGATATTGATGGCCTACAACTCACATCAGCCTAATAACTAATGACAATGGATTGTTTCCACTACTGTTCTATAACACTGGCACTATGACATTTTAGGTTCCTTTCTTCTCTAAACTAAAATTTACTTCCCTCCGTCCCAGGGACCTGCGAAGCTTGGAAGAGGCACTACATCCTAGCCTATGGGCGCTCTTCTAATGTCAGCTGCAGCCACTGCTTTCCAACACAAGCAGCAGAGAGAAAAACCAGAAACTAGGAAATAGGATAGCTGAAGGCTGGCTGTTGGTTCTTTTATTCCTGGTAATTCTCACTGATATTATTATCCCAGTGCACCAGCTGATATGCTTTGATGATCCACTTGAGAACTGGGTATAAGCTGCACCAGATGTGGCCCAGACAGTATTGGTGATACATCCTCACATTAAGTACTGGTATTATCAACGAGTCTTTTCTTTTTTTCCACCACACCTACAACATCCTGACATTTTCATTTCTGAAGTATCTCCAAAATTTGAACTTTTCTGCTGTGAGGTGAAGATCTCACTATCTAATGCAACTCTTACACGTGGCCTACCTGCCTCTTTTATTTACCCCCCCCTCCAATTTGCTTAATTTAGAACATACTGTATATTGCTATTATGAATATATCTCCATCTTCTACATTGGTTGAATTTTCACCTCAAATTCTATCTATCTTCAAATAAACTTTTAAGGCTCTTTATTCTCTTGCTCGTTATTTTTTCTATTTACACCATTGACTTGCATTTCTATAGGCGCTGCTGTTCTCTGGAAAAGGGAAATTGCATCATTCATTTATCTTTCATGCCCTTGTCTCCTGTTGTACCTCTAGAAATCTTCTGTCCAAAACTCCATCTGGCATCTTCTTTTGTACAATAAGTTACAACTAGAGTACGCCCAATTCCACCAACAAAACGGAAAAGAGGACTTGACTCATCAAATCCTCACTGATTCAGTAGGTGGACTCTAGTGCAACTTACATTAACAGAGTTCAACCATTAAAATACTAAAAGCACATCTTGTTAGTAGCATCATAAAGCTTAACAGTTTTCAGTTAAGTATTTTGATGCCAAAATTAAATCTCTGGAGTTTAATGAGTCAGTAAAATGTTAAGTAAATATACTTATTTCTTTTCATTATTTTACTTTGAATATGGATAATGAAATTTGTCAAACTCTGAGAGCAAGATCAAAAACTTTCTATAAGCATAAAACACCAATCCAGGTGAAATTATTTCTTAAAAACAGAACTTTACCTTTCGGTTGAAAGAATATGTATTAATTTTAATAAAAATTCACTGAACATCTGAGGGCATGTTGAAGAAAGGTGCACTTGTAAACGAGTAAGAAATTCTTGCATAGCTTGGGTAGCTGTTGGGCCAACCTGGGGAAAAAAGATTTGAAGAGATCTGCAGTAAGCTCTCCTCCCAATGTGACATCGTCTAAAACAGTTCCTAAACCCCTTTCCATGAGATGGATATGTAATAAGAAGCCTAACCACAATCAAGTCTAGTCAAAATTACATCCCTAATTCAAAACATGTGTACAGTGGTGCCTCGCTTAGCGATGCTAATCCATGCAGCAAAAATCGCTGCAAAGCGATAACATCGCTAAGAGATTTTAAAAAGCCCATAGAAACGCATTAAAACGTGTTTAATGCGTTCCTATGGGCTTAAAAACTAACCTTATGCAAAAATCCTCCATAGGGGCGGCCATTTTCGGTGCCTCTAAAGCGAGGCAAAACAACAGGCGGGCATTCTGTTTACCCGGCGGCCATTTTGGAACCGCCGATCAGCTGACCGAAAATGGGGGCTTTGCGATGATCGCTTCCCCGGAATGATCGCAAAGTGAATTTTCCCCGTAGGAAACATGGCAAAGCGATCGCTTTTGCGATCGCAAAAACAGCATCACTAAGCGATTTCGTTGCTCAACGGAGCGATCGTTAAGCGAGGCGCCACTGTATTTAGAATCAGAACATAAGATCCAAATCTACTGGCTATCCACATCACACGTTTTTAACACAACTAAAAGGGAGCCAGTGGCCTAATGATCTAGGTAAAGCACCAATGTGTTTCATCAAGCTGGAACCACACCTCAAATCATCTTAAAATGTCCATGAATATTCTGCCAAATAGGTAAAATTTTAATACCCTTCTATGATTCTTATATAGTAAATACACTATATTGTTAATATGCAGACAAAAAGGAGAGAATGCCAATGGAGTGTAATAAATACATGTTCATATAGTATTTCAGCCACCTACTGAGCGTTCTATCGTGACAAGAGTTGAATAGCTATCATATTTGCTGACAGCTGTTACTGCAACAATAATAAAAAACTACCTGTGGACTGTGTTGATTTGTTCCATGAGGACTGGTTCCAGAAAGAAACTTCACTAAAACATGAATTAGGTTGGGGTCCGACACCAACAGCTGGGCAGTACTTTCCTGAGATGTTATGGCACTGCTGGGACCAGCTGTAAGGTAAAACAGTTAAAATAAAATAAAATTCACAAGTAAATACACTTTTGGATACATTATACAAACTGCATGAGGTTAATTTGGTATTAGCTACCTCTGTAACACTGTAAGGGACCAGTCAATGGAAAGATCAGATTTCTTTGAACATGTTTACGTACAGATGGTTCACTTTCTGAGCAAACAGCACTGTTATTGAATGTCACATTATAGTACCTATAAGTGCTTCACATTCTCACATTTCATCCTTCATTATGAGGTTCAGTATAATGTTCATTGTTTTGTTTTCATGTATATGTATTTCCTCTTCTAATATTAGGATTTCCATGGCAGTACCAGCAAACCAGCTGATCGCAGCCATTTTCGCGCCCTCATTCAGTGAGGGGAGGGCGCGAAAATGGCTCCCGGCCATAGAGGGACATCGCTGTATGGTGAGTAAATCAGCCGATTGGAACGCATTAAACTAAGTTTAATGCATTTCAATGGCTTTTTTCTTTCCGTACAGCGATGTTTCACACTGTACTCGCTGCTGACCTCAAGCCTGAACTGCCCATGTGCATTTCTCTGTTCTCTTAAGTCTAAACACCAGGAAGGGAAGGTGAAGCAGGGGTGCTATTTTGTTACTTTATGAGACTTTTAAGGCTGTGCTCTCTGGTACAGCCTGAAGGCACTGGTTCTTCACACACATCTCTGAGACTATGTGACAAGAAGCTATTGACACTCTCTGCGTTATTCTGGGCTTTAACATTCCATGTAGCATTCACAGCCAAGAATACAACTCTTTATCAGTAAGCAAAGGATATGGAGTTGCAGCTGTATTCACGCATATTGCCAAACAGGACCCCAAAGGAGCAACTGTTGTCATTAAGAAGAGGATAAATTCCCCTTTACTAAGTTATCATTACAGGCTAATTGTTTGCATAAAGTTGAAGCTGTACCCAGGAAAAACAAGTCAGTAATTCAGCAATACTCGCTGCTGACCTCAAGCCTGAGCTGCCCATGTGCATTTCTCTGTTCTCTTAAAATGGCAAAAATGTTAGGATTCTTCTTTCACAAGGAATGAAGAAGCTACCACATTTTTCACAATATATAACATGGTTCCTTAAGTGTTTCAATCTCCAGTATCCAACAATTCAAGGTTTATTTCATGCTTTAAATTATGTTGTGACACTCCGGATGTACAAAAGAGGCTTTTAACTTGCACTAATATTTTAGCAGGTATATTTAAAAATGTCCTAGCCTTATTCTGGCATGTCTACTGCTTTCATTCATAATGTTTAGAACTATTTCTATTAATGTCATTTTCTTAAAAAGTGCATGACAATTATGTTGTAGATTTTAAAAGGTGAGATAACCAAGGAACTTACAGTTGAATTGCATGTTCGTCATGAGAGTTAGACTATGAAGTACAAGGCACCATGTTCGCAGTAAGGTATTAGGATACCATGCCAGGACAGTCAGGAAGCTAGTTACTGATGCTGTAATAAACACACAGTTCAAAAACACAACATATCACAGCCATAAAATATTTTTTTAAAAGTATTACTGTAGTCTTCAGTTATTTGGGACGGGGGATCTTAATTTTTAAACGGGATACTCGTATGCCAAATCTCAGAATTTTCCAAAGTGCAGAATATTCTAAATGAGTGATCAATGCTAGTAACAAGCACACGACCAGGAGAGTAAGCTGAAGGGGATCTTAATTTTTAGACAGGATACTCGTATGCCAAATCTCATCAGAATCTTCCAAAATGCAGAATATTCTAAATGAGTGATCAATGCTAGTAACAAGCACACGACCAGGAGAGTAAGCTGATGGATCCAAAGTGAGGGAAAGAGTCTGTGCATTCAACAGCATCCAAGGACAACAATTACAATTTTTCCAGAGCTAAGACATGCCTGGCCCTGGCTTCATTACTTTCCATGTTGAAGAAATTAAGGTCAAGACTGAGTTGCTGGTGTTTTTTTTTTCTGGGGGAGGGGGGCTCATGTGTATCTGGTAGCTAAGATATGCCTGGCCCTGGCTTCATTACTTTCCGTGTTGAAGAAATTAAAGTCAAGACTGAGTTGCTGGTGGTTTTTTTTCTGGGGGAGGGGGGCTCATGTAGAGCTAAGACATGCCTGGCCCTGGCTTCATTACTTTCCATGTTGAAGAAATTAAGGTCAAGACTGAGTTGCTGGTGTTTTTTTTTTCTGGGGGAGGGGGGCTCATGTGTATCTGGAAGATCAGATTCAGTGTAACCCAAGGATGCTGCCACTGCAGCGACAGACAGGAAAAATGGAAGAAACTATTGTCATCCACAATGTGCTCATATTGCAGGGGGCTACTTCATATGTTACCAACATGAGTGCACCATGCTTTGATCTACTTGCAGAAATGCAACAATTTCCTACACAAAATAATTTTTCATGTAGGAATCTGGTAACATATAAAGCAGCTTTAAAAAAAGTAGGGAAGAGGCACATAGCATCTAAAACAGCTTCTGACTCCACACTGGGCAAGAGATTCAGTCCCTTTTCATAAGACATATTTAGAAGGTCTCTTGTCAGCTCTGCTAATAGATCAACAGAGGATAACACAATCAGAGTGCCAAGCTACTGATAACTAACCAACCTCCAGAAATTAACAGAAGAAAGAAGATGGGTATCACTTCTGTTTGAAAAATCTACAGGCTGTAATTGAATCACCAAGTTATCTAGGCGATAACTCACTGAAGATGCTTCAATTTTGGCAAAGATGGAAATTCTGACACTGGGAAAGGGGACACTAAAACACACACAGTGATTTCAGCTAATCTAAGGCCATTTCCACATTACTGCTGATTTGGGCGTCCTTGTCACTAGTTGTGTTTGGTCATACATTATCTATGTGAATGTGATCTACCTCATTATGTTACCTGAAAATTTTAACAGAACTCAATTTTACAAAAATGGGGATGCCTGATTTTTTAAAGGATGCTCAAATAAGAACTAATGTAATATGGAGGTCATATTGGGAATAAAATGAGACTTCATCCCCCAGGTTTTCCCATCTCTTCTTAAATGAATTTAGACGAGGCAGAAAGGAAATACTGAAGGGAAATTTTCTAAATATAATCTGTTCAGGTTATAATTCTTTTCCTTTTCTGTTTCTGATAATACATTATCCTTGGATACAAATATTTTTACTCACAGACTGCACAACAGACTTGATTCTACCATATAAATTAACAATGAACTAATTCATGCTGACAAGAAATATATGACTGGCTTAGACATGTACAACAGCTTTGAAAATTCTGGTTTAAACTATATTGTAGGACACACACACTGATGCAACTCACCTTGATTTAAAGGAATGGCAGGTGTCCGGTTGGCATTATACAGGAAAATGTCAGTGCAATTATCTTTGGTCCCTATGGACCCAGAATTCAGGCTTAATGTGAGCCATAACTGTAGAAGAGACTCAAGCTAGAAGATAATGATAAGCAATTATTATTTTGAATATATACTTGACACCAGAAATTGAGGTAATCATGGAATTGAAATTTTAGGGTGCATAATAAACAAGTTTCTTGAAATGTTGGATATAATCTCCCCTTCTAACACACTGTACTGTTGCAGGTTGCATTTACTTTTCATTCTGCTATTTTGAATTTATGTTGGACAACTTGCACATAATTGTTAAAGGCAAAGTATCATCACCAGCTTCTTATCAAAGCAGTAAATACATCACTCAAAGTAATTTGCATTTTTGTAGTAACAATGCATACTTCAGTATAAATATTATTTCTTAAATAAAAACATTTCTGACAGAATGAAGTTTTATTTTTCTGATGACACAAAGGAAGCCCATTCAAACAAGCAGGACTGCAACAATGAAACTTGACAATCTACTGTCAAGCATATATATTTCTACGCTTTTAATTATATTTATTGTATTGAAATTTTGTCCTCATTGCACTTTATGACTTTTGATTTTTGCCCCTATGTATTGATGTTATTATTTGCTATTTTGTTACTTTGTTCTTTTATGCTACTTGTAAACTGCCCAGAGTGGCCTCGGCTGCCAGATGGGTGGTATATCAATCAATCAATCAATCAATCAATCAATCAATCAATCAATCAATCAAACGATTGCAACTTCTTCCTCTCATCCCCATGAAGGCCTGTAAATTAGCCCCTACTAATGCCATAATGCCAGCAAAATAGTGGAAAAGCAGTCGGCTATATTGTGATTGCCATAGTTTAGATTCTAGAATCATCTAGGAGAGAGGACAGGTTATTTACCTCATATTATCTGTGAATTCACACTAATTGGTTCTTCTGCACCTGCACAGACACCCACAGGCCTCACTCTAATACATAGTATAGGTTTTTCCACTCAACTGTTACTCCTCAATTCTCTTTAAAGGAGGAATGTGAGACACTATGAGACACACTTTTTTTTTATTTATAACAATAAGTCTTTCTAGTTGATAGCTTTCTAGCCTCCGAAAAGATTCTCGTTATCATTGGAGAATATTCCATGCTGTCAATTTTAGTCTATGTTTGGATGAGTTGTCCTTCAGGGTGAGAAGGAACTAAGGAACTAAGTTTGCCTCTATGAAGAGGGGCTGAATCTGTGACACGATCTGAAAAAAGTGTTGTGAACTATTGCTGATGTGGCCATCATAACACAATAAGTATCACATTAGCCCTCTCTTGTCAAAATTTCACAGTCACCTTGTGCATCACCGGGAAAGATGGAAGCAGGTACACTGGATTTTTGGTGCAGTAATTAGTGAAAGGATCTCTTAATATGATACAATCAACCATGGTATCCTCCTGGGGAGGCTCTCGGAGTTCGGAATCAGTGGACAGGCACTTGCCTGGCTCCGATCCTTCTTGGAGGACCACCCTCAGCGAGTCCAGCTTGGAGAGAGTGTTTCGGCCCCGTGGAGCCTCAACTGTGGGGTTCTGCAGGGTTCGATCATCTCTCCAATGCTGTTTAACATCTATATGAGGCCGCTGGGAGGGGTCATCAGGGGGTGTGGGGCTTTGTGCCATCAGTATGCTGATGACACCCAGCTCTACATCTCTTTTTCACCTTCCTCAGTGGATGCCGTTCCGTCCCTTGAGCGCTGCCTGGAGGCTGTACTGCGGTGGATGCAGCAGAACGGGCTGAGGCTGAATCCAGGCAAGAAGGAGGTCCTGAAGGTGGGTGGCCCCTCCATCTGCGGTTTGGGAAACTCCCTCTCTTTCGGGGTGTGTGTGTGACTCTCACCGCAAGGAGTGTGGTTCGCAGCTTGGGGATACACCTGGATCCGGTGCTCACCATGGAGACCCAGGTGGCATCAGTGGTCCGCTCCGCTTATTTCCATCTGCGGCGGATAGGCCAGCTGCGTCCCTATCTTGATGTTGGGGCGCTCACTACTCTGGTCCATGCGCTCGTAATCTCGAGATTAGACCACTGTAACGCACTCTACGTGGGGCTGCCTTTGAGGCTGACGTGGAAACTTCAGATGGTCCAGAATGCAGCAGCCAGGCTCCTTAGT